TGGTCACCAGGCTCCCGTGGCTGTGACCAGCACATTCTTTCCCTGCAGGCAGGCCAACTGCGAAGCCAAATTATGAGCTGAGTACACAACGAAAACAAAAGGAGATGTGTCTTCTCGAGGAATGTTTTATGTGGGACATGATCGCCCCGATAACGCTGCCACCTTCCTCTTCAGTCATAAAACAACTCTCTGGTTTTATGTGTGCATGTATGTCAGTGTATGGACCGCCACCTCCATTTTCTTCCAGACTCAAATCATGTCTCTCACAGACTTGTTTGCCCACCTCCCCGTCTCTGACACGCCTGTTTTCTGATACAATCAAAGCAGGTTCCCCATGTTCCCAATACTCATCTACAGTAAGATTGTGAATGGAAACAAGTTACTTCATGAAAGTATTTATTGATGACATGGCCACTTACACATTAGTCCACCATTCAAACACCTCTTTAAAACCCCTGGATCCCTCTCCCCCTCTCGACCCGCCCCTCCCCATGGTGGTAAGCATTTACAATACAATGCAAATACATCAATTCCATTGCAAAGTAAAATTGCAAATCTTGCAACAGGTGTAATGTTTCATGATGTCAAAGAAAGTGAAGTTGGTAAAGCAACTGGCAAATGAGGATCTATAGAGTTAAACAAGTGAATAAAGGTACAGTCAACAGGGATGATGAGAATAATGAGCTTTACACAAGAAGGAGGGAATACTTTGGATATCAAAGAATTAATTGAGACCCTTGGGAAAACTATGACACCCTCAAATATTTATACAAAGTGACCCTCTTTTTGATTATGGTGTAAAAGTCAAATATGAAATAAAGCATATTTGATAAGGTGCTTCACACTTTGTAGAAAAAATTAAGCCAACACTAATCTCCTTGACTTATTACTTATTTATTCTATATTAGGACATAGTTGTACTTACAATGTAAATTTTGATCAACATAGGATAGAATAAATATATTCTAATAGTGTTGCTTTGTTTTTTTAAAAAAGTCCCCAGTAAACCTTTTCCCCCAACTAATTGCTCTGAAATTTGGTTCCTGTTTTAAGTAGCTTTACTTTAAGGAGGCTTTACCAGCGCTAATCACACAGTGCTAATGAGGACTTCCTGTACTAATGAAGCAGAACTTTTCCAGTAGTAACTGTCTGATGCCTGGATTGTGTCTATTTGCAAATTAAACTTTTACTCTTTTGTTCATTAAATATCCTCATTTCTTAATTCTTCGGGGGGGAGGTAACTTATTTACTCTTAGGAATTTCCTATAGGATCACTTCCAAGGGTGGTATTATTAAAAGTAATATTAGTGTTTAGAACCTGACCAACAAAAGAAACAAGCCAGCAAAATAGAATCAGAGACATGGGAATAAAGAACAAACTGATGGTGACCAGAGGGCAGGTGGGTGGCAGCAGAGGCGGGGGAATAACAGGGGAAAGCAGGGGAAGGGTCAAGTCAAGGAACATGAATAAAGGACCCATGGACAAAGACAAGGGTGGGGGGTGCGGACTGAATGTGGGAGGCGGGGGTGGGTAGCACAGGGGAGAGTAACCAGGAAGAATGGGGACAACTGTAACTAAACAATAATAAATTTTTATAAAAGTAATATTAGTGTTTCCAAAGGCAACTCATTTAAAGGACACAGACTTTGGAGTGAACTTGGAGTCAGACTTACATTTGAATCTGCTCCTGCCATTTAACAGACATATATGTTAATGAGCAAATTGTGTGCCCTCTCTGAACTTTGGTAGCTTCATTTGCGAACAAGGAGCAATAATAGCTCCCTCACAAGACCGTGGTGAAGGTCAGATGCAAACATGCGTACAATGCCATGTACAGAGAAGCCATTCAATATGCAGTAGTTAGAGCAGTGCTGTTTATTTTTGGTTTGTTTGACTGCCAAAATTCCCTTGTGATCTTCATTTGCTGATTAATTTGTACATTCAGAATCTTTGCATGTGTTTTACAATGTGCACCTAAAAGTAGCTAACTATGACTAATATTGAAAATATACCTTTAAGAGTGCCTTGTTGTGTAAATCTCTTGGAATGAATTCTAAAATATTCTGTAAAGTTTTGAAAAATGTCACAATGAGGTTTTCAGGATTTACACTGCGAAATTTTGGTTGACTTCTTCTGTAAGTTAGATGACTGATATTTACATGGGAAAAAACCTCAATGGAAGCCCCCCTTCTCCACACGCAAGCAAATTTTATAAACAAATCTTGACTTAAAAGCAAGAAACTGCCTTTTACCGCACAGAGAGTCCCATGTAGAACACAGTCTTGAAAGTCATATGCTTCTGGATTTGAACCCAGGCTCAACTGCTTCTTAGTTGTGTGACCTTGATTGATCAACATAATGTTTCTAAGCTAGGGCATCTTCATCCATAAAGTTGGAGATAACGAAAATACCTACCCCAGGGTTGTTGCGAGACTGAAGTGAGACATTACCTAGAAAATGTTCACGTGCCCACACAGCCCAGCACATTGAAAGTACTTAATAAATATTATTATTTGTAAAATCTTCAAATTCACAAGTTAACAAGTATGTCATGCTTTGTTAAAAAATGGCAATAGTGTAACTCAAAAAACAAAATTTAGTTCATTTGATGCTTAAACATCAAGTTATAGGCTTTGGTCTTTTGCCCCTGGAATTTCCTATATCTGAGTTCCTCTCCTTCCCCCGTTACTTCCCCATGAACCTGGCTTCCTCCCCAGTGCTTCTCAATGGCCTCCTCCCCATCCCCCCCCACAAAAGGAACAGCATGGTGGGCAGGGCGAGGAGGGGAGACCTTGTTATAGATTGGCAAGGGCCTTCTACTTCCCCTCCTTCTCCGAGACTCTGGTATATACCCCTATGGGTCCCACTCCTTCAGATATTATTTCATTTACTTAACTAAAGCCAGGGGATAACAATGGCTAACATTTGGTACTCACCTAAGAGCACTAGAACTATGTACTAGATGAGTTACAAACGTTATTTTGACTCTTCATTAACAACTAGGCAAGTTAGATACCACTGTTCCTATGTCGGAGATGGGTAAGCAGAGGGCCTGAGCCTGTAAGTTGCTTCAAGTCACACAGCGATTAGTTGCAGCAGCATCAATGACCACAAGGATCAAGTTAATGCTTTAATCAGGATGTGATGGCTCTAACTGGTTTTCTATGTCTGGGAAAGGCCTACCCTGTCTTCCAGAGAGGCACAGGGGCTCTCTCACACTGGTGCTAACACACTCATGTGCTATCACGGTATCATCTTAATCATGTATGACTTTTAATCTTTTTCTATCATTTGTCACCTAGTACTACGTTTGTATGCGTAATACTAAACGTACGAACACCCTCGCGCATACCATGCATTACTACAATAAATACACCAATTATACAATGGATGCTGTAGATCTGATCAACAGAATTCCAGATATCAGAAAGTAAACAAACTATACTCTCCTCAATCCCAGTAATTCCTGGTTAATTTCTCCTAGCAAATATTTAATTTCAAATCTGTTCGTTCTAGAAAGCACAATCTTTCAAACATTATGATACGGAATCCCACATAGTCAGAAGGGAAAACTGCGATGAGCCACTAAGGTGGACGTGTCTTTTCCACTAGGAGTAGAATTAAGTAACTGGATAAATAACGAATTCAGCAATCATTCCAAAAGTGGAAGTTCAGCTCACAGTCCATGTGGGAGAAGCTTGAACTACACTAACCATTTAAGGTCAAGAAAAGAACTGGTCAACCCTAACAACGAGCGCTCTTCAGGGTTTTCACCTGAGATTGAAGGATCCCTATACATTTCTACATGCCAGCTTCACTATACAATACGGTGCCACTTCCAGATAGAAACCTCTCCCGAAGCCACGGGGGCAGCCGGGCTAACGTTTAATCCCCCTAGAAAGCTGACGCCTCTCGCCTGCGCCCCATGTCTACTACTCACAGTCCCTCCATTCTTTTTAACACACTCGAGCGAAATGCCCCCTCCATCAATTCTAACTGGGAGCCGGACTCCCCGCCTGGCCCCCCACTGGGGGTCAGAAGGAAAGGGAGGGCGAGTGGCCGTGGCCGCGCGAACCCGAGCGCTCGCGGGGCGGGGCCGCGCGCGGCGCGCGCGGGGGACGGACCGGGCCGCTCTCCCGTCTGCTCCCCTTTGTTCTGTGCCATTGTGTAGCGCTTCCCCTCCAGGCGCTGGTGTGCTGTGTCCCGGCAGCCAGTGGGGGAATTTGTAAAGGGGCTTTTTCTCTTTTCAGTTTACTTTTTAGTAAGTGAGGATCTCCCTTGCACGGCCTCTCCCTTGAGGTTCTTTAAGCCCCGATGCCTAGGACCCAGGCGGAGTGGCAAGTGTCATTCCCTCCCCGCCGACAGCTTCTCCGCGGGTCTACTGCCCTGCTCCTCCTGCAGGAGGCGTCCTAACCCCGTATTCTGGACTTGCACCTCCAGACCGGCCGCGTTCGGGCCGTAAAGGCGACACGCGACCCCATCCCCTTCGAGGGGCGCAGGCACCAAGGCAAGGATCGGAGGCCGGTGGTCGGCCCGAGTCTGGCCGCCCAGGCGTCCGGGCTACCGGCGCGAGTGTCTCCCCGACCCTCCCCGTGCCTTGCGCTCGCGCTCCCAGACCGCCAAGCAGCCGGCTCAGCCCCCTTATATAGCCCTCTAAAAATAGCTCGCCTCGCACCGCCTTGTATGGCAGCAGGGAGATCCTCAGTGCACCAATCCGCGCTCGCCGTCAGGGACAAGCCCCGCCTCGGACCCCGTTTTGCGCTACCCATTGGTCCTCAGTGACTTCATGAGCCTCCTGTTTACCTTACATGGTCACACGCGGCCTAATGGACGCCCTCCTCCGAGATCCCACGGCTGCGCGGAGAGCTGGGCGGTGGGAGGGAGTTTGGGGAGGGGGAAGAGCAGGAGGAGGAGAAAAGGAGGAGAGGGGGGAGAGACTACAAACTAGCAAGGATGGGGTGGGGGTGGGGAGGGAAGGGAAGGGGGGGTGGGGAGAGAAGCGATCGCGAGAAAAAAAAATGCAACCTCCCAAAATAAAGAGCAAAGATTGCATTAGGAGCGAACAGCGCTGCAGAAATAGATGGCAGCTTCGTGTCAGTGAGTTTGCATCCCCCTTCCTGATCCACGAGCTGGAGTGATTAGAGCCCTGGAAGGCAATTGTTACTCCCGTGGAGAAGTCCCCTTTTCCTGGCAGCCGTCTGCACTGTACACGCTGGATGCCTCTCTCCATCCACCCCACTCTTTTCTCTCTCACCTTCTCTCGCCCTCTCTCCTGCATTGATTTTTTTTTCCTTTTTAGTTGACTGAAACAAAACAAAACAAAAGGGCCACTGGATGTCTGCCTTCTTGGGGGGTGAGCCAGACAGACTGACAAACAAACAGACCCAACTGAGTTCGGGGGAGGGTTTCTCCTCCCGTTTTGCCCGGCAGCAGCAGCATGGACGTGTTGGCTAGTTATAGTATATTCCAGGAGCTACAACTTGTCCACGACACCGGCTACTTCTCAGCTTTGCCATCCCTGGAGGAGACCTGGCAGCAGGTGAATGATTTAAATTACTTGTGTAAATCGTGTGGTGGCGGCGGAGACGCAGGGGCTGCGTTGGTGTGGGCTTTGGGTTTGAATTTTTTTGTTTTATTTTTCCCCCTCTTTTTGGCTGTTTGTTGTTTAAAATGTTTTCGGAGACAGTCATCTGCGCTTTACCTCTCCACCCACCCCCTAACCCCGTAGAGTGCCGAGCCGAGCAGCCGGTCGAGCTGCCTGCGTTTCAGTCACCAACATACATACATCCTTGCGCCCACGTTGTCGGGCTCACTGTCCCCCAGCAGAGACCTGCCTAACTTCTGGGGTTCGGAGGAGTGGAGAGGGAAGGTGGTTTGGGGTTTTACGAGGGGTGGCTGACAGGATGCCGCTCACGAGCTCACCTACCTGATACCTTGAATCAGGCTCATCTCTTTCAACTGGTACTGACAATCGTCAGTTCGGGGGGGGGGGTGGTGGTGGTTAGTGTCAGTAAAGAATAGGAACTTGATTTTGAGATCAGAAGGTGGGCAGCAGCGAGAGAAGCCCAGTGACAAAAGGTACCCAAGGCTGTCAGAAGGAGGACGGGAAGATGTAACGCTGACCGTGCGTTGTAGTTTTCCCCAGTGCAATGCCTCCAGAAAGAAAACACCCTCTATGTGTGTCCTTGTTTCTCTCTTTCTCTCTCTTATTTGTTTGGGGTCCCTTTCCAGTTAGACAGCAAAACCTCCGGCAAGGGACACGGTGTGCTTCCATGCCTCTGACTTTGTCCTAGAGGACTAGTTAAGAAACTCCTTAGGATGCTGAAGGGCACCAGTGCCAAGTTGGCTAGGCGTCCCAGTGAGGGCAAAGTGGGGCTGGTGACAAGTTCCCTGGGCTTCGTGAAGTGGAATAAAGTGCTGGTCAGTGAAAAGTGCTAGAGGTCTGCTGCAGAAACTGTGGTTTTCTCAGCAAGAATTAGGAGCTGCTGAGGATTCTGCAGGAAAGATGGTGTGTGGGAGGTTGAGGGGGTGGTGTAGGTATTCTTTGAAAATTCTACAGTGCTTACCAAAGAAAGTCCAAGAAAACGGTCTGGATTTACACTTTGGAAGTGTGAACTTGCACAGTCTATCTTAGAGAAATCCAGTTGCCCTTGGGGAGGGAGGGCTATAGAGGCATGGTGTGTGGTTGCTCTTGTAACTTCCCTGCTCCGTGACAGGAGCTTGTTATGGCTAATGAACGGCTGATTTTCCTCTGCCAGGATCCGAAGTGGGATTTGCCAGCTTGAGGCTGGGATGTAACAGTTGCTGCTTTAGTGAGTGAGGTTTGGCTTTCGGTACAACTAGCCGAGTGGCAAAGCTGATCCTCTGTACCATTGTTGCTAGTTGCCACTGTCCCTTGATTGGAGGCTGCCAGTTGTCCTCCAGGTATTGGCATCGGTTGTCTGTGTGTCCACGCGTGCATTCCTGCCCAAGGATGCTGGCAGGTATCCTTGACTTTGTCTCTCTGAATGCACACACAGTTCGTTTTTAGCAGAAGGCATTACTTCAATACAACCTTTCCCTATCCTTAACAAGATTATTTTATGAAGGGTCTCACTACATCTTCTTCCTCCTTTTATTTCACATGCTAATTGAACCAAAATACCCGAGTTTCATTTTCTGAAATAGCTGTCATTTCACACTGTCAGCTCACTGGTGTCAAATGGTTGGGTATTAACAACTGTCTAGACAGGTTAGGAAGGGAATCTGTTGATTTAGTCAGCATGCCTAAGGCAGCTCTTGTTTGTGACTAACTGTTAAGCAGTGTTGGAGGGAAGAAAGTTGGCTTTATTTGTTACAACGTTCCCTCCTGATGAATCACACAACTTTGTTTTGGTTCAAGTTTTCGCAGTAGTAAAGCCTGCTTTGGGGGAAGGCCTCTCCAGAGAAACCTGCTTTTTTAACATCAGTTTGGACCACGCAGGAGAAAATCTAGATCTGCAAAGTAACATCATTGGTTGGATAATTAGGGGATGTATTAGATCTATTGTTTCCTCAGAAGCCTTCTCAGCTTTTCGTTAACCCCTCTCCTCCCTCCCCACTCCGTCCACCCCTTTCAAGGAACCTCTTTCATAGTTTCTATCAGCCGGCAAAGGAATTTTCAGCTCCCTCCCACCCCCATGTCTTGCCTTAACCCTCTCCAACTGCCAACGACCATCATCTTAGAACCCTTCGCCAAGCTGTGTCAGAGGCATACACACAGTCCATACTGAAACATGGCTTGTGGGGAAGCGCTCCTAAATAACACCACTCAGAGGAGCTTTCTGCTGCGGACTCTATAGTCACAACTGCCGTATGTTAAGGTGACTGACTCTTAAGTTCATACTGATGACAAAACCTCCAACCTCTCTTCCTTCCTCCCTCTCCCCTGCCCCCCTTCCCCTTTCTGAGTGTAAGGAGGGGGGGTGGTTATATGCAACTGTTGGTTCCAAATCAACCATCAGATGGTGAAATTTTGAGACTCCTTTACTCAAAAGGCTCAAGAAGGTTGCCACAAAGAACCCGAGGCAGGAGGAAGTTTCTTCATGCTCTGGAGTAATGAGATTTTAGAGGTCAAATAAGGAGCAATTATTAGATGTTCTTTGGAAAGTGAACAGTGTACCTGGCCTCGAGGAGATGAGCAAAATACAGAGATTCCAGTAATCTGATTTAATTTTGTTTGTACAGAAAGAGTGGCTTGGATGATAAACCCAGGAACCTCTGTGCATTTGACAATTGCGGATGAACAATTTGGGGATTTTATTTTAAACATATGGTCTGGGATAACTGTCCTGCTTGATAGTCAAGTGACCGTATGATGGCCCTTCTGTCACAGGGTCACAGTCTGACATTGAGTTTCCAGGCAATGATGCCTTATCCACATACAGCTCCAACTCTGAAAATCATTACTGGTATAATTTTAAAATCCAGATGGACATCCAACATTAACTGCTCTCTGTTCCTGGGCTCTGACTGCATGCTTAAGTGCTCAGCCCAAGTATCATCCTCTCTGCCTGTCATATAGCTGTAAATTACACTGTGCTTATGTGGCCTGTTATTTTACAGAATTCAACTGATGTGCAAGTCTTAAGGCTACCAGCCTTAACCTCTTTGGAAACTTGCAGGACAATTTTCCAAGAGCTCTCTGAGCAAAAGTAGGAAAACGTCAAAGGGAGGACAGAAACTGGAGTAGCTCATAGGGTACCACTTGGGGATGGATAAGGGGAGAGCCATTGATGAGTTTTGTTGCCAATAGAAACCATGATTTCTCTGGACCCGCTGCTGACTTTAAAAATAAAAAGGATTTGATAAAATATACTCAGTTGTTTTTCTTCGGGCAGCTACAAAGACTTAGAATTTGGGTATATTCTTTACACCCCGCCTGCTTGTGTTGTAAGTGTAGGTCAAATGATGAGGTTCTCAGTCTCGTTTGTATTTTGCTCTGCTCCATGCCATTTTGTGGCATGGTGTATTTACTTGAAAACTCTTACAGAATTATGCTTGTTGTTAATGCTGATTCATAATTGGCAGATGGGGTCAGTTTCAGGCCTCCTTCTTGCTCAGAGAAAATTTTCCACTGCTACTGGAAACAAATAAATAAATCATAGAACATTCCTCCCTCCTCCCCCATTTCCCCATTGTTTTAAACTAATGGCATATTTGGCTACTGTGAGAACTCAAACGTCCCCATAACACTGCAATTTCATCTTGGTTTCAGGCACCCTGAAACACTTTTACAGGCCTTCGGAATGAGGCATCTCTAGGGGACAACCTACAAAAATGGTTGCCTTCCAAGAACAGCCTCATGGTACAGGGGATGGCGCTGGATCTGGGAGCTACTTTGCCTCTCCTTCTGTACAGCGATCTTGCCTCCGCACACTGCCTGGGCAGCCAGGTGCTGTCTCAGCCAGAAAGACAAAGCAAACTGGAGGGTCCCTGCATCCGCAGGTTTGCCTCTTTCCCCAATTTGCAGAAACCCTTGTCATGAATTAGAATTTCTTGGCAACAGCACCACCCAGGGAAATTTGTAGACACAAAGGAGCCTTGCTAACCACACTGAAAGGATAAAATAGCTGGTGCTTCTTCTTTTTTTTTTTTCAAATGTGATTTGTGTGCTCTTCAGTTACCATAAGTCTATTTTTTTTTTTTTGAAACAGTGTCTTGGTAGATAAAAAAAATGAGAACTGTCCCTGTTAGCCAGATTTTCCTGTATAAGGATGCAATCCCTACATAAAGTGTAGCTTTACAGATGAAAGCACGTGTGAATGCGATCAATCACCTACTTAGCCTTTCGTTAGGATTCATGTCCATGCTCTTTTTAATAGATACATCTTTGTGTAGGTGTAGGTGTTCTCAGACACCATTCAGTCTACCTGTTTGCAGTTTGGCATTTTAAATGTTACGATGCAGATTTTTTTTACTACGTCTGTCTTTAGTGGGTGGGGGGATATAAAGGAAGTGGTGACTTCTTTGTTCTCCATGAAACTCCCACCCCCACTTCTTACCCTGAGGAGAATGTGATGTTGGGGTCCAATCCATTTAAAGGGCAGAGCAGAAGATGCACTGTGACAGGCTCACCCTGAAATGATTTATATATGGGCATGCCAGAGACCTGCAGCCTTCAGATGTGGGCTCGTGCTCCCTCCCAGCCCGTTCTAAATATAAATGCCAGTGGGGGCTGTTTGCCTCTCCACTTAAATGGGAAGAGTTTAGAGAGGGTCCTAATGGGGCTTTTAGTAGCCATTCTTTTATAAATCTTCAGATCCTTCTCCTTTCAGAGAATTCCCACATTTTACATTTTCAGTACCAGAAGGCATTGCAATCTTCTTTAATCATGCTGCGCCTGTTGGGGAAAGAAGAATGCAGTTTGCTCCGGCCAGTCCCGACTGGCTCATTTTGGTAGGGCAGCTGCCCACACGCGGTAGGAGAGGCCCCTATCTTTGCAGTCTGTGGTAGCGTGTCAGGGGCTTTTACCGCCTTTGCTGGACCCCAGGATGGGCAAATGCAGAAACCGCCTCTGTG